TGATTACTTCAGAGTCAGGTTGAAACGCATATCTGGTGGGCACATAACGGGGCTAAACCCCGGAGGTAGTCAATATGTCAGATTGACCTGGCCGGGCTCCTTTACCGACTTGGCTCTAGCCTTGTTCACCTTCCAGCCTCGAAAGGCTGGAATTGATATACGGACCTTAATCAATAGAATAGGGTTTCGGGGATATTGTACTATAACTACAGTATAATAACGAGCCCCCAAACTAATTAGTACAACTTGGAAAATTGGTAATTATCTAAACCTACTCAATCTCCCGTGTCAAGTCCGATCTGCACAACCCCACAACATGCGAAGCACATCAAGCCCCTGGTTGCGGGGTTCGAAGGAGAAGGAGAAAAGGGAGGCGATTGAGGGGGGAGGTTTATGAACGCTCCTTTCTTGGAGGTACGGCTGAGAGTTTGGCTGATTTTGGGTTGGGAGTTTGGGGTTCAAGGTCACTCTTGCAGAAAACTCCATTCTGCCTCCTGAACGAAGTGTCGCGAAGAGCAACCCTCATTTCCTGGGCCCATGGGCCCCTTCCCCTAGACTCCAGCTCATCCACCCTAAGAGAACCCAGAGACTCCAATATCCCTTAATTAAGGAATATACCCCAAATTATAGTAGGATCCCTAATATGATTTCAGGAATATTCCTGAATTAAGGGGTATTGGAGTCTCTGGGAAGCAACAACTTGCCCAAAAAACATTGGCCCTAAACTGCCCGGAAAATCTGCACAGGAAGGCCGCCCAGTCGTCCGACCAGGGGTTTCGCTGCGGAGTTTCGCCAATCCTCGCAGCAAAGTGGCACTGGACTAACGAAGCACCTGAATAACCAGACAGCAGCTACAGCAAATTTTCTAAGTACGATACATGGTCGGGCACTTGGACTCGCATGACCAGTAGCACAGGCCTCTAGATCGTAATGTTACGCAGCCGTTCACGGGACCCCGGAGCCCAAAGCCTAGGGTCCAGGAGTACAACGAGAAGAAGCACCAGGCAGCAGCAGTCTGCTAAGACGTCTCGGACAGTAACTACAGATAAACGGAACTGCCAGCCGAGATTCGTGTTGTTGACCTGCGCAGGCTTTGCGGAGAATCGTCACAGCTCTGGGGTCACATCATCACTATGCCAAATTTGTGCAGCTACCCATTTCCAGATTATTGGAACCCAGACAAGTTCAGACTTTGGAGATGTTCTAATTATACCTTGGTCACTTTCATGACTGACCGTATAGCACGTGGCTTTGCTTACAGTGTACGCTTAAATAGATTGGCAACGTGCAGCCAAAACATGTGTTCACCAACCGCAAACTACCAATCAAGCCCCGAAACTCTGAATCCCTGTACCTTTGTCTCTACACCTAGACTCTAAGCTCGAACCCCCTGCACTAAACCCTTAACAGTAACCCCTAAACCCTGAATGCCCTTCGAATTGAAACTTCAGGGTTTAGATTCGGATGGCAAAGCACCTCAATGCTCCGTCCCCCGACCTTAACCCCAAGTAACCTACCCTTTTACGGACCGAGGCCAGGAAATCACAATAAGGAGCCCTGAAAACACAGGTGGGCTCAGGTCGACCCTAAATGGGATTGCACAAGGAACCCTCCCTGGCCCTAAACCCTAAATCCTGAACTGTCAGACCCCACCACTGCAGCCTGGAATTAGAACTGTTAAAGCTGCTTTCTGTTCGTTCAGTTTGGTATTTAGGGTTCCTTGACCAGCCCTTCTGATAGCCTTCGACTCAACGTCCCTTAACAGGCAAAGCACTTAAGCCTGCACCCTAATGAAGTCTGAGAAAAGCCGGTCGCCTCAAAGCCAAAGCGAGAGCTTCGCTCCTGCAAATAGTCCAAGATTTAGGGTGCGGAGGCTTACGGTTTGGGAGCTTCGGACTTAGGACTTTTGGGTGTAGGGGTTTACGTTTGGGGTGCATGGAATTTAGGGTGCGGGGGTTTCGGGCTACTGGTTATGCATGGGCTCGCTGAACTCAAGAATGAGGGCTTTGAGACAAAATATGTTAAGTAGGGTTATACTGCAATCATACAACGAAATGTGAAGGTATTAGAGCTTTTTCAAGCATGGCGGAAAGAGCCTTCCCGACCGAAGACCAAGCACGATGGAACACCTAACCGGGCTGCAGGATAATGCTACGGGCCTATTCTTGATCATGGCGACCCTGAACCAGTAAGTGCCCCGCCCCCTCCCGAACCCGAACCACTACCCGGCGGGGTTCGGCTTCCGCCACCGGCAGCGTGGGCGTAGGGGGGGGAGGGGGTTTGGGTTCAGTTCGGGTTCGGGTTCGGGTGCATTCGTTTTTTGTCTGGGGGTGGGGGTGGGGGGAGGGGGTTTGGGTTCGGGTTCGGTCCGGTTTGGGTTTGGGTTCGGGTTCGGGGGTCTTGTTTTTTTTTTGGTCGGGGCGGGGGTTTAGGGATCGGGTTCTGGGCAGCGGGGCGGGAACGGGGGTGCGGGGCTCTGTTTGTTCGAAAATCTTGTCTTTTTTTGGTCAGGGTGGGAGGGGGTTGGGGCCGGCAGTGGGCGTGGCGGGGAGGGGGGGTTCAGTTTCGGGTTCGGGTTTGGGGGGTTTGGGTTCGGGTTCAGGTTCGGGCTTGGTGGGGGCCCGGGTGGACGAAGGGGGGGTTTGGGTTCTTTTTTGGGAGGGGCTGGTTCAGGTTCCATTTCCTTGGGCTACTTTTTTCCGGTTCAGGTTCGGGTTCAGGCTTGGGCTACATTTTTTGGGTCAGGCTTGGGCTACATTTTTTTGGAGGGTGGGGTTCCGGTTCAGGTTCGGGTTTGGGTGGGGCTCGTTATGCCCTAAACATCCCTAAACCCTAAAACCCTAATGTCGACGAGTCTGCAAGGGCACGAGGGTATGCAGCGTGAGTAGCCGAACGAAGTGCAGGTCAAGCTTTACCTAGGATGCCCAGCAACCTCGGAATAAAAAAGAGCTCCCTTGTTGGTATTGGGTACCTTAATAAGGAACCTAGGACTACAAAAAGGGAATAACGGTACTACTGGGCATCCTAGTTCTCTTATATAAAAAAAGTAGGTACCTTAAAAAAGGGGTATATAGGGTATGACCCCATAGGTACTACCAACGCTTACTGCATCCGAAGGAGCCTCCGTCGGCTCCAGTACTTAGAGGTTCGGGGGACTTAGTAAGTAGGTCAACCCTTTATGCAAAATTCCTAGAGCTGCTACCCCTAAACCCTAAACTCCTAAACCCAGGAACCCCTAAACCCCTCAACCCCTAAAACCCCTCCACCCCTAAACCCCTATAAACCCTAAACTCCTGAACCGCTAACCCCGAAACCCCAAAACCCCTATAAACCCCCAACCCCAAAACCCGTATAAACACCCCACCCCTGACCCCCTGAACCCCCAAAAACCCTCCGAGCTCCTCTGCATGCAATGAAGCCATCGCCCTTCCCAGCGCTTTGGAGTCGCGTGGGCCGCCGAGCTCCAGATACCTTTGATTCAGGGCTTGGGGGTTCCCTTTATGTAGGGGCCTTAACAAGTCGAACAGGGTTTGAAAGGGTTCCTTATTGTAATTAGACTATAGTATGGGCGTTTCCGAAAATTGGGCGACCTTAATAGTGCCCTAGATAGTAGGATCCTTATTGTAAGGACCCCAAAATAAGGTACCCACATTTTCCATCTATCCCCAAACCCTATTCTAATTACTAAGGGCCCTACTGTAAGGTGTCGGGCTGTCGAGGCTTTCTAGCTCCAAACCTGTGTGTTTGAGGGCTCAATTATATGGGTAGTTGTCAAAATTATGACGCTTTTTGGAGTGCCCTAAATATTAGGCGCCGTACAATGATAAGGACCCAAAAAGGGACCATGATGTTGACAACCACCCATATGGCCATATGGTTTAGGGTTTAGGGATATAAGATGAAGGGTTGAGGGGCAAGGTCTTTGGTATTTAAGGTGCAGGAGTTTAAGATTTCGGTTTAGGGTTAGGGTATTTTTAAGGGCTCCTTTTCGATCTGCGGAGTGCTTTACGAAAGCTCGATTGGGCGAGCAGGTCACCAGCTGTAGGCGACCGTAGAAAAACTTTTAATGCCCCTCTCAGACCACAGACCACTCAGGTACTCAATGATGATGATGTTTCTCGCGTTTGTTCCCCTGGACCTTCACGAAGTTGTGACCCACTCCCTCCCACACTGTCTTCCATGAGCCCCTGTTGCGAGCTTTGAGAACAAGGCGCCATCCCAAGCAGGCATCACCGTGGCTCCAGACTCCACCTCCGTGCTCGACAGTGACAGCGACACACATTGTGTTCCTGCACCACCAAAGGAACACGGGAAGACTGCTCCACCTGCAGGTAGTGTATCACCCAAGTCAGCTTCCTCAAGATCTTTTTGCCCTCGGAAAACGTCCAGCCAGTCTGCCCCGAACTGGTCTTCCAAGGCCTCATCAGACAAAGCCCCAGATTTCCACGCCTGGTACGCTTCGTCCATGCCCTGCACATAGCTTTGGCCAGGTGGTGGGGTTTCGCCCGCGGCCGTGTCAGCCATCCCCACCTCGAGCTCACCAGCCCCCGGTGCATACTCAGTGTTCTCCGGCCCCGCTTTGTCACTCCGTTCGCCACCAGCACTCGCACCTTCCGCCGAGACAATCTCCAGCTGGATGGTGAGAGGCAAACTCCCCAAAGGCATGGAACACTGGCTCGAGGTTGCACTAGATGCCGAAGTCATTAGTACACGTAGGCGGGGCCCTGTCGGCGGAGTGTTGAGGACCACCCATTCCTCCCAATCCCGGTAAAGGGCAGCTTGATGGGCTCCCACCGGTCTTCGTCACCACGCCGGTCAGCTTCTTCCATGGCTTCACAGGCGCGCTCTTCATCTTGTACCCATCGGTCGTCCACACTTTTCTGTCCCTCATCGCTGACATCCACCATCCCTTGGTTTTGTGACGTCCCCTCCGGTGGCCATTCCCCAGGGCACGCTCTCAGCATAGCCAAGGCATCCATGACGGTCCATCCACATGAACTTCACCTGGCGAGCTGCCCGCTGCCGTACGAGAGTAACTGCCACTGTGCACACGGCATCTGGTTGCAGACCGGCTGCAGGATCCCTCTGAGCCGTCTGGCCCGCTCCCTCCGGAAATCATCCCCCATTCCACACAACCCGCTGTTGAGGAACTCGACCGTGCTGGTCCAAGGATCACGTAGGACGAGGTTGGTCTGCATGTAGATGGACTCCTCGTTGTCCTCCCCTTCCGTGTGTTCGTCATCCACAGCCACCACCCCTTGTAGATGAGGGTTGGTTTGGAGCACATGCAAATCGTCTCGATGAAAAACATCGCCATCACCCTCATCAGTCCAAGCTGCATGAGATTTATCTCATGAGCACCCAGTCCCCTCATTATGTCAACTCTGTCCTGGCGGCCTCCCTCAGGAAGGGCGGTCGTAGCAATGGCATCCTCCGGCCCCCGGACTCCAAGTGTTTGAAACCACATCGAGACAGCATCCTCAACTGTCATGTGGCCCGTCGTCACCGTCGGCGCTCCATTGCTGCCCCGGCTACGTCCTTCACGAGGTCGATCACGATCTCTTCCACCAGAGGTCCAGGACTCATCCCATGTGGACCAGGTCTCCCTCCACGGGCACGCGCATCCGCACAACTGGCTGGCGGCATCACCTCCATCCAGCGCTGCCAGCGCACGGACCGCCGGAGAGTTCAGCCTCCACCGCATCCTCACTCTCCTGGAAAGCTGAAGGCGAGCTCGGCTCTGGATGTAAGCGTCACTGAAGTCACCATATTGCCTGATCAGCCTTTCCACCCGGTGCTCCCACAACTCCGCTTCAACCCAGGCCGCCATCTCATCCAGCTCGATGTCCTTCACCTCTTGCTCTTGGCACACGGCGGGTGTGTGCTGCGTGAGGCGTCGCCATTCAGTCCGGCTCCTCCACCTCCCTGTTCATAGCCATGGTTGCCACCGTTTGTCAAAGCTGATCCCAGAGGTGAGGCGGAATTTGGTGTTGGACGTAATTAGGCAGCAAGAGCGCTTTCAAAGCTCCCAGGGGTATTCAAGAACTCCGAAGAGGGTGCCGTGGAAGTCGTTGAAGACATTGCCTGCTGTTGGCCGTCACCCGTCATAGTTCGGCGTCTCTTGACCGAGTTCTCCTCCCCTCTCCTCCACGCAAATCTCCCATCCGCCTCCATCACAGCTTCGCTTCGCACGGTCATCACCAGGTCGCTTTCCCAGCCAGCCCCTTCCTCGACCTCATCGGACCTTTCCACCCAAAGCTCCGACTCAAGCCACCACGCCATCTGGTAGCAGTTTTCCTCCTCATCCGGCAAGGCCACCGTCCAGTCAATGGGGCTGTCGAGGTACATGTGGAAGTCATTGAGGATAAGCTCATTGTTGACTATGTAGTACCGGTCCCTTCGCCTATTCGTCAGGTGTCGGAAGGCCCTCATGAACCCAGCAACATGGTGTCCACTCGTTCTGCACATCTCCCTGAGCCTACGATGGACCAGTCTCAAGAACTGAGGAGGCTCGGCAAGAACCGTACTCGGAGGAATCACATGCGCAGGCAGAGACAGGGCAAGAGCACCGCCCCAGCCTTGGAACAGTGATGTGGCATCATTGGACCCCTCACCCTCGGACTCAACTGCTCGGTTGCCCCTTGGTTCAGGAACGAAGGACGGCCCTGAACCATGGCCCCTCTCTTCCACACCTCCATCTTCTTCCATAGTCAACTCCAGAAACTCAAGCCAAAGTCGGTCCCCCACTTCCTGGATCCATGTTCGTTCTCTCGGCGTAAGCGGGCCATCCGCCTCAGTGCCCGTGTAGCTCCTCAACCTTCGGTAGAAGATGAGGAAGCTGCGAGAATCTCGGCGACTGTCGACTTTCGACGTGAAGTCGGAGGTGATAGAGGAGTGCACCTCCGCCTTGGCCTGCATTGCGAAATGTTTGCAGTTGCTGCAGTGCCACACTTCTCCAATCCTCCTCAGTACAGAAGTCTGATTCCTGGACTTCAGCTCCCTGTCCATCATTTGTGATCCCGTCCTGTCTCTCCATCTCCTCAATTGGTCGGAACCGGAAAGGCCCACGATGCTGCCTGCTAACCGCGTGCCCAAGGTGCCTGCCCATCTTCGCAACGAAGAGTGTGCTATTCGGTCGTATTGGTCTAGGACTAGGATCTTGTCGCCATGGGTCGCAACCTCTCGCAAGAGCACCGGAGATTTCAAGACAAGGATCTCCAGATTCGACTTGAGAGCCGCAAGACCTGAAGTGATGGCGTTCTGGAAGTCCGCACAAAACTCTCCGAAGGAACACAAAGCCTCGTTGAGTGCATCCCACGTCGAGAGGATGCTCAGCCTTCGAACCAAGAGACAAAGTGCTGGAATGCTTGCCAGATGCAGCGCAGGAAGAAGCAAAGGTCGGAAGCGCCACAACCTCCTTTCCGATGGAGGCGGCGAGAGCCCCCACATGTTGAGAGAAGTGTCGCTTACCCTCTGCATTATGGTCATGGTGTGAACCCTTCCCCAAGAGTGCACAATCCCCTTGTACCACATCATTGACAAACTTGCAAAAACCAGCGCTAGGGAGGACCACTTTGCTGCTTGAGCCAGCACACAACAATCGTGAGCTAGGGTGCCATACCCATGCCCCTCTGTTGACAAGGCTCCTTGCAGCTGCCTGGAGACGGCGAACAATAGTGCCCAAGCGCCCGTGCACGCGTGGGCGCAAGTATGGCCTATGAACGTATGCCATGCATTCAAGGAACTCTCTGACTCCTTCTCCTGAGCTAACCTCACACCGTGAACACCTACCGAAGCGGCTAGAGAGCTTAGTTGTTCGTCGGCCATGTCTCTTGCCTCCAGTGACTTTATGATGATTGCGGCAAGTTGTGCTCTTGCATTGGACCTGACCTCCATTGATCGGCATATGTCCAACGAAGCCGCGGCATCCGACATCATAGCAATCAACTGAAATGGCCCGGCAAGAAAAAGCTCCTGCACCACTTTCCTCGCGTAGGCTTCATCCTCTTTGAGCTCGCGCTCCTTGATTTCCAAGTCATCTCTTATCTTCTTGGCTGCATCTTTCATTCTGGTGAGCTCAGCTGCATGTCGATCAACGAAAGGTGAGGGCTTGACGAAGTAGCAGTGTCCTCCGGTGATAAAGATATGATGCTCGTCATCATCCTTGCCTTCTCCTGCGATCAACACGCATCCTCCAGGCCTGTGAATGACGACGTTCAATCCTGTCAAGTAGAGGAACCACCTGAGCTCAACCTCTCCTTTCAACGCTTTCCCTTGTGCGACATCTCTTTGCAGCTTCAAGAGATCAGTTGGTGACAAGGTCCCATGACTGTGGGGTCCGTTGACATAAAACGCCGGGAGTCGCGTCAGAGTGCATTGCTTCTTGTACGCTGTTCCATTGCGAGTTGCTATCTCCCACAAGTCTTCGTCCTCATCATTCACAGATCTCAGAACTCTCTTCTCACGTCTGCCAAGGTTGAAGACACCTTTCTCAACAAATGAGCAATGGCATCCTTGACTTGGAAGTGGCTGAGGTCGTAAACACTCATGGCAGCTTTCGAGAACATGTTCAAGTATGGCGTCCCTGCAAAACACAAAGGAGTGACCCTCATAGACCCCATCTTTGCCGAGTGGGCTAGAGAGTCCAAGACGCAGGAGTTCTCTCCATGGTCAGGATCCTCCACTGATGATGAGTGCACTTGGCCACACTTGCAATGGCGAACATCAAAAGAGATGTCGCCGTCTGTGTCTCTTTGCTTCAACTTGTCAATCTGAGTTCCAGCTCCAATCAGTCCCTCTTGCCTGGACTGTTTCATCTTGGCCCTCTCACGTCTTCCGCCTCTCTTTGGCTTGTGCTGGGCTGGATGTTGCATCGTTCCTTCGGAGTCTCCATCGACACTACGGGGCACAAAGTGTGCAGGCGCCGATACGGGAGGGAGGTTGGATGGGCTTACTCGGCCACTCAAATGTTCACCACAAAGTCCCTTTGGGAGATCATGGCTTCCAGACGGACCGCTTCGTCCCAAACGCTCTCACAACTCCGCGAGCTCTGATTGTTGAACTCGAACCAAACTTTCCAACTTGCTGATCCTTTCCGTCAAAGCTTTGTTGTCTTCTCGAGGCGGAGGTGTATGACGAGACTCCCAATCATCAAACAAGGCAGAGGACATGGGACTGCCCACCACTGGAGCCGTTGCCTTTTCGCACGAGTGGATGGCCCACTCATGTTGTCGCTCAGCTGCGAACTCCCTTCGTAGGGTGTCCACAAGGACTGGGACGGCTCGTTCGTGATCTGCAGCCGACATGCCTTCCTGGCTTAATTTCACGGTCGATCCCGATTCAACACCTCCACGTCGTTCCACTGACACACTGACTTCAACACGCCCAACTCTGCACTGGGAATTCCTGACAGAGGTTTGTGTCCCGGATGAAGACTGAGCTTTTGCCTTTGGCGCCGCTTTTCTTGAGCCAGGGGGTGGACCCGGGTTCTTTGCTTCCCCGATCCTCTGACAAGAGATATGGCCATGTACGTCTCGCAAGCATTTGCTCCATCCAGTTTGGACGTGTGAACACCTGATGTAAGGTGGATAACCATCGTCTGTGACACTGCTGCATGTGATTGGACCTCTGCACGTATGTAACTCGCGGTGCAGCGAGTCGGCCGGACCGTTCAAGGTCGCCACGTACAGAAGTTCTTCTGCTCCAACAGAAACGTCCTTTGCGACATGTCCGAACTTGCCCATGGCTTCGTTCTGCTGCCACGTGCACAAGAACATGTTGTCCTGAGAGGCACAAAAAGGCGTTATCCCGCAAAGGAAATGAGGAACCAGATGGCACCTTTCGATGCCTGTGCCGGTGAGATTCTGTCGCAAGTCCATGCAACGCTCACCGCTCACCTCCCTTCTCCTTGCACGCCTTCTCGCTTTCTGGTTTCTTTCGCTTGGCTGCAGCCAGTGTCTCACACTTCACCCTGAAAGCCAATATTTGTTGCGGAGGTTTTTCGAGCCCTGTCTTGTTCTGTAGATTACCCTCTTCATTGGAGACCCCCCGCTTCGTCGAGGCCTCCTCAGCAGAGCAGAAGCTTCTATCGTCTCTGCAAGTCATTGAAGCTTCCCGGTCTTTCCCTGGCGTCACCTAGGGTTAGGGTTTAGGGTTTAGGGTTTTAGGTTTTTGCTGCTTGGGGAATTCGGGTTCCGGTATCTCTGATTGAGACTGCGGGTTGAAGGTTTCAGGCAGCACGGAGTCTTGTTTGTAAGGGCCTTGCAGGATCTTCCCTTAGGGACTGCAGGGTTTAGGGTTATAGGGCTTAGCAGCGCAAAGCCAAGATTCCGGCCAGACCAGAAATCTCACCTCGGAACTCAACATCCAAACCGTAGGACTCCACAGCCCACTTTAACCTCCAAAAACCTACTTTTGTAGAGTCCCTATAAATTGTACAATCAGGTTCAACATGAGAACCTGCAAAAAAACTGGGTTATGGTAGTTTACGGGCATGCATGATCCTAGAACAACTTCCTAAAGTCCCGAAAACTTTGAAAGAAACGACAAACACTTCAACCGAGGTGCACCATGACGATGAATGAGCCTGATCCTTGCATCGGGCTAACACAGTTTAGAGCTTAGCGTGGTAGAGGGGTGCTTAGGGCTTCATGTTCAGAGTTTGGGATTTAGGGTTTAGGGTTCGGGCTGGTAGGGTTGAGGGTTAGGGCTTAGAGTTCATGCTTTGCGGCTTAAGAAATGGGGGTTCCGTTCAGGGTTTCGTGGTTGCTGTAGGGATACACGATCCGGGGGTGTTTCTTGCATACCTCTCCGACTTACCGAGCTTAGGAGTGTTGGGAGCTGTTGGGGAGTTTTGGGGCTGAGTTTTTTCCCGGATGTTGGAGTTGTAAATATGTGTAATTAAGGCTTTCAGTTTTGGGTTTGATGGGTTTCCGGATGTTGGGGTTGTAAATATTTGTAATGCGTATTTCGGGCATTTGATCAAGGGTTAAGGGTTCGGGGTGTGTTTACAGTAGAAGCCAGAAAGTTGAACATCAGTAGCCTCACGCCCTTAAAGCCAAATATAGGGAATCCGAGCACTGATCCTCCTAAATCCATGTTCCAACTTTCTGGGGTTCACTTTAGTGGGGTCAGCAGCTCAGGGTTTCGCGCTTGAGGCTCCTGCTTGGGATTTGTCGGATGCTGTGGGGCGTGGTATCAACTTCTGTCGGCGAGCGCCCCAACAGTGAGTTGAAACAGGCCGGCACCAACCCCCCCTAGAGCCTGAACTCTAAACCGTAATATGGCGGCCTTAATAATTACAATAGGGTTTTGGGGCCCATTATACCACAACTGTAATAAGGAACCCCTCAAAATAGAATTGGTAATTCTTAAAGCCCCCAATACGGTTGATGATATGAATCCTGCATTACCCAAAATAAGGAATGTACCATAATTCCCATAGTCTAGGGTCATTAAGGTAATGCAGGATTTATATCATCAACTGTATTAAACCCCTGAACCCAAAACCCAGTCTCCCGCAACAACAAAAAAATTGTCGAAGCTCAGTGGTGGAGGCGTGGGCGCATGTGTTGTCAAAATTAGGGTCCCTCTTTGGGTACCCTCAATGGTAGGTGCCGCACTATTATATTAGGGACCCAAAAGGGGGCCATAATTTTGACAATCACTCTTGTGGCTGGAAGAGCACGACAACAACGACGACGACGGCAACAAGCAGACATCCGACTATGACAAGAATACCCGGAAGAGGTTGCGCACTTGAGCTGGGACCTTCGAAGAGCATCAAGTTCTACTTGACTCGAAGTGTCTTTCGCAGCACGTCACGAGTTCAGGTTCTCGTCCTGCCCCTGGCCCCAAACTTGCTTCCTCACACCTACAAACGAGTCTACGCTCACCACGGTCAACATTCCACGGACGGGTATACTTGGACTGCAAAGTAGCTCCTACCTAGACCCTCAAAAGTAGGTAAAATAATGGCCCAAAACCTATAAAAGGCTATTATTCTGCATACTTTTGGGGTCCAGGTATACAAAGGCTTTAAGAACTGCAAGGCGCCTTTTTGCGGACAAAATGTATCTGGCTGCAGGAAGTGGGTCCCTTGCAACCACGGAAGGTACACCAGCCCAGCGTAGCCCCCCACATCAAGTGGAAAGCAGGTATCTGAAGCGCAATTGGTGGTACAAAATTTATAAAATCCTTGCTGTAGCGCAGGAGGCCAAGCAAGAACAAAATCACCCCTCAGATGTGACGGTTTAAAACGTCACAAGACATCGAGTCATATGCTGCCGCACGCACTCAGAGAAGTCCCTCACTCCTCGACGTTTGGGTTGGCCTTCTTCGGATCGTGAAGGTACTTCAAGTGGAGTTCGAGGGCCTCTTTTGTGTCGAACAACTGGTTGTTGACAGGTGACTTGAACTTCCCGTTCACTTTGATGCCGACGTTGGCAAGGGTGCCGTCGCCAGACTTTGCCGCATCGCTGATTTCCATCTTTCCATCGCTGCTCATGTTTCACTGCAACAGTGACAGCACTGAGGGACGGTCCAAACGGGATCGCTGCACCACGACTCGATTCGCTTGAGCCAAACGGGGCCCAAGAATGTACGATCTATAAGTGCTAGCCCAGCTGGGCCCCATCAACCTCTGGAACAAAACCCCAAATAAGCGTCTGAAATCTGGCCTGGGATTTGGTATCTGGAGGAGCAAGTGTCTATGGCTGGGTTAAAGGCCTAAGGCCGCCTAAGGCCTATAGTATGTTGAGCTAACCACTGGGTCCAGTCGCGAACCCATGAAAACCGCGTGGAGGAGTAAATTCCAATGCCATGAACAGAGAAGCCCTGCAAAGCCAGTAAAGACATGAAGCTCAACAAGGAGGCTGTGGGATTTCGGCTACTCGAAGTACCGACTTGCCCTCCCAGCTGCCTTCGCTGCGGTCCCCCACGTACAAAACCTGGCACCACGAGTCTCAGGTGCCAGGTAGCAACAACATAATGAAGGGGCCTTAATAAGTAGAATAGGGTTTTGGGGCCGATGATACCATAATCATAGTAAGGAACCCCCAACATAGTATTGGTACTTATATGGGCCCCTATACTAATGATACCCTTCTGCTGCTGCTGCTGCTGCTGCTGCTGCTGCTGCCATGTGGGGTTTAAGGTTTTGGGATTTAAGGTTTAGACTGCAACGAAATCCCAGGCTTAACCCCTCGAAGTCTGACGACCCAAGAGGTGAAAAGTCTCACGCCTGCCCGGAATGCAACAACAAACAGTGCAACTATACCTTCAACCTCAAGATGTAGCTAAACCCTACATCCCGAGAAACATCCAAAACCTGACGCAACTCGAAGCCGAAAACAGTCCCAAAGCCCAGCCGGCAATGCTCAACACCTAAACCCAAAAGCTTTCAAAACATCTCTACCGAAACTCAGAAGCATAAACCCTCCAAACCCAAAAGCCCTAAGCCCTAAACCCTGAACCCCACACCCTGAACCCTAAACCCTCAAAGCACCCCAAATCCTAAACCAATAACCCTGATCTGAAAACCCTGAACCCTGAACCCAAAACCCTAAAACTGTCTGGCAGAACTGCCGAAATCTGGAAAGATCCCTGAAGCCACTCTCTTGACCCTAAACCCTAAACCGCACAACCCAACTCCCAAACCCCAGGCACCCAAAAACCTAAACCCTACATCCTACATACAAAACCTGAAATCCTCCCAAAGGATCCCTGAAAGGAGCCCTTAATGCAACCTGCATTGCCCTCGCTCGAAGTCCCCACCGCGACCCGGGCCTTGGGAACTCTCAGCAAGCCCTCGCTCTGCGCCGCCGCGCCGAGGGCGCGCAGCCCCTCCGCTTCGCCGACGAACATCTGAGGTTGA